GAGAGAGAGAAAAGAAAAAAGAAAGAATGAATGAATGAATTCAGAAACAAGGAAGGAGCACTTTCAAAATGAAAGAACAGAATCACTGGCTCAACACTGCCAGAAGGCATGCAGGAAGAGTGAATGTATATTTATGTAATTTCCTGAAAGCTGGAGGTCATACATTTCACAAGAATTCTCCATTTCATTAAAGACAAAGAAGAAAAGCAACAGCAACCATTTTCCCCTAACATAAACTCCAGAAAACCCAAGCCTTATATTAGTCAGGTAGTTGGTAAGTAGATATGTACTGGGGGGAGGGAGGGAAGGAGGGAGGAGAGAGGGGGAGGAAGGGAGGGAGGGAGGGAGGGATTGAGGGAGGGAGAGAGAGAGAGAGCATCCTGCCTGATGTCTTAGTTGGTTATCTTTTTAAAAATATTCTTTTATTTCATAAAGAGAATAAAAATAGTAAGAAGAACCATTGGAAATGATACTGAACTTCACTAACCAAAATAATTGTAGTTCAACAGTGGTTGTCATATTGAATAATATTATCTTCAGATCAATTGTTTACATTACCATCTTTTGACTTTGACTCCTTACACTCTGCTTTACAGTGGCAGTTCCACACTCAGGATCAAGAAGCTGGCTCCACATACTCATATGCTTGAGATTCTGTGCACTAATCCTGCAATAAACAGCCATCAGGGTGCTATGGTCCCAAAACCCTCAAGAACATGGAATGAACCAAGAAACAACAAAGCTTTTGAAAATCAGGAATTTAATAAGGTTTAATTTATTTATTGTCTCTTTGTCCCAGATCCTGCCAGAATGAACACAAGCACCCACTCCAATATCCTGTGCTAATAAACTCCCTGAATCAAATTTATAATATACATCTGGGTACCTTGACCTTGGTTCCAGAACCTGCTTGAATATATACACCTGCATTTTTTGGATTTGCTATACATTAATGATCCTTCCTTTAAATTATAACACTGCACTGGGTTCCAGGAAGGCAGGTTGAAAATGGCTGCTTTCCATGTTATAGAAAAACAGTGAATCAACTAATTACTTATTTCACCATCCTTCCTCTCACTTGTTAACTATATATCTGATGTAGATAGGATTTAGAATCCAATCTCTTGAGCACACCAGTGTTAAGTCTTCTGATGTGGTAGCATGCGCAGATCATTCTGTTTTTACTATACCTCTCCCCAAAGAATCTTCTGATTACTTTAGCCAGGTGAACTTTTTTCAGAATGGATTACAGTATGATATATGACCTTATTTACCTGTTTGTTGTGTGTATAGATTATCATCATATCCTATACTTGGACCCAAGCCTTCTAAGTGGGAGTACTTTGCCTTTTATTCACCAGTATACTCTAAATTCCTATAATAGTACTGGTATATCTATATCTATATCTATATCTATATCTATATCTATATCTATATCTATCTATCTATCTATCTATATATATATATATATATATATTGCTCAGGAGAACATTGCTCTGGGTCACTGGAGTGGATTTTAGGTAGATGCTTCCTGGACAAGCTGTTTCTCATGTGACTGGTATGGTGAAAAGCTAAAGCTATTTGTATATTGGAAGGAAGTGGAAGAGTCAGAAATAAGAAAACCACAAACTATCTTCCTCTCACTTCACCTCCTCCTTACCATAGCAGACACTGGAGAGAGCTCATAGGATAGAACTGAGGCCACAGATCTCTGAGAATAATTGTTGAATCATGCATTCCAGTTCAGACTTCCTGAGCTCAGGCCATAGCTGTAGGAGCTGCCACTGAGTGATCTTGAAACTCTTTGTTCATTTCTTTCCTTATCTGTAAGGTGTGGGTAGAGTATTTATCTTGGATATAATGATCATAAAAGGTAAGAGCTGGTAGATGTTTTCAACAGTGTCCTGCTGGGATGAATATTCAAGAAATTAAAAAGTTATGACTCAATAGATTTCTTATTGGTCAACATTATATAGTTCATAGATATTTATATGAAGATGGAGTTGGATATGCATACAATTATAGGTTGTGCTGGGAAGATTTTTGTTGCTATAATAAATAATTGAGATAAGTAAATTTATGGAGAAACAAGGACTACTACTATGGCTCACAGTTGTAGAGGCTTCACAGTTGGTTGGTCCCATTGCTTTATGGTCTGTAGGATGCAGGAAATCTTGCTGGCAAGGGCATGCTAGATAAAATCTGTTGGCCTCAAGGCACATCCAATGACCTAAGATATCTCATTTGGCCCTACCTTTTAAAGGATGCACAAAACTTCAGTAGTGCCACTAGGGACAAAACCATTCACACATGGGCCTTTACAGGGCATTATAGGTCCTAACTAGAGCATGAATATGGAAGCTTCAGTCAGAAACCTTTGCATTTCTCATTCCCATCCTTTATCCTCATCACTACTCTGCACAGAATGAGGAACTCGTGATAATACATAGCTGCTTTGAGAGGAAATTCACTATACCAAGAGAGAGATTTGCTTACCACAAGACCTGAGGGGAACTTACAAGGTCAGGAAGAGAAGTCAAAAAAGGGAAGGTGGCTGGACAGCGGGGAAAATGAAACTGTCAGATATACATTTCACGGAGACTGAGAAATGGTTGCAAAAAAGAACCACTGAGGATAGACCTTTTCCATGCCTCTGTGTGACTGTATGTGTGTATACACTGATACACATTGTGTGTGTGTGTGTGTGTGTGTTAACAATCATATAAAAGAAGAGCAGCATCCTACCATACTAATATATAAGGTTGTTTTGAGAAACATGAAATTACAATGCATTTGAAAACTTCAAAGGATTATTTAGCAGATAGCATCCAACATACCATTGACAAAACTTTGATTATACACGCTTCAACTTGTGGTTATCTCACAGCGGTATGTGGATAAGATTAAGGTAATCTTACCCTTAATCCTCTGAACACATTGATGTATCTCTATTCTTTCAGCCTATACTGAGAATCTGGGTGACATGGTATGGTTAAAAGTAAAAAAAAATCTGGGAGGCTGGAATCTATCTTAGTGGTAGGGCTTGTGATTTTTATGAAGGAGCTCTTGGATTGAAACACCATTTCCATAAGAAAAAATGAAGAAAGGAGAGAGGGTATATGAGAGAGGAAACAGAGAATGTGACAGAGACAAGGAAGAAATCTGGGCCTGGACTGCCTGGATTTGAATACTGGCTACTCCACTGCTGTATGTAGGCTACAAGGGCAAATTTGTTTCTCTGCTTGTTTCCTCATTCCTCATCTGAAAATAGTAAATAAAGGCAGTGGCTCTCACATAGGTCAAGGATTGGACAAGTTAAGAGTACAAAATGCTGAGAACTATGCCTGTCTTACTGATAAGGCTCAACTAATGAAATTCCACTACTCTTTGGGAGTAATTTAAAAAGTCAAATTCCAGCATTCTTAGGTACTTTTCTCCTTTCTGGAACAAAATATTCAATACTTAAAGTTACATCAGTGGAAGAAAGGTTCATTACAGCTCACAATTTGTAGCAATTTCAGTCCATAATCAACTATATCGGAGGCACAGCAGCATAGCAAAAGAGAAATCCACAGCAAGGCAGTCAAGGAGGCAACAAGTAGCAGCAGCACCACCACCACAAGCATCACCTGTCCCAGAAGCAAGCCTGCATTTCCTCTCTCCCTTTACATTCCTAATGATTGGTGCCACACTCACCCAGATCAATTCTAATTTTAACCAGTGGCCCAGTTTGGTATCATGCATTCTTAATTCCAGTATCACATGCCCTAGATCCAGACAACTCCAAAACTCCCCATGTGAGCTAAAGAGGTTAAATGGGATGGGGTCATCTAGAAACCAGCCATGTTGCTGCTCCGCAACCTGGAAAGTTGCATTACAAGGCAACTTAATTGGGACACATTTGATTGATGTGATCAGTCCTGTGGCTGAGGGCTCAGCTTGATTGCCAAAGAAGATGAAGACAACCCATTGAAGAGACATGAGCAGAGGCTCTCCCAGACTGTGCTAAGAGGCCACAAAAGTTGTATGTCCTGGGAAAAGGGAAAACAAATCTACACAGCAAAGATGAGGAACTAGGGCATGTTGTGGAGACCTGTTGAATGTTGACCTATTACCCCTCATATATGTGGAAGGTAAAATCCCAATAGTATACAATGTGGCTATTTTAAAAATGCCTAAATTAACACATGCAGTGGATATCAATTCAACATACTTATAACAGCTGTTATAAGACAATAAAATGATACAAGACACAGGCAAAAGGCAGACCAAATGAACGACACTCTGAGATAAAACCAACCCTGGCAATATCCTGATCTTGGACTTCCAGCTTTCATATATGGGAAGAAATTAATGTTTATCATTTTAGACACCCAGCCCATGGTACTTTCCTATGGCAGCCTCAGTAGAAGACAGACCTTTTTAGGAAAAAAAATATGGAACTACTTAAAGGAAGAAACTATAGAAGGATGAGTGTGAAAACAGATTATGGAGAGAAATTAACAGAGTGGACAGAAAGCAAAATGAGAAAACCCACTGAAGTTAGATGGTGGATGAAAATCTCCAAGAATACTGTTTCCCTCATCATTGCATATGAATTCCATGTCCAATTTCTAATTTTTGGGCAGTGAGCAAAGATTACTAAGATTATGACCAGGCTTCCCTATCAGCCACCCCTGAGCTCAACTAGTTGTCTTGGGAACATTGTCTCACCTCTTGTAGAATCAAAAATTTACACAGATTTAAATAATGATCCTTCTGGAAAAATATTTTTTCACCTAAATATTGTGAAGTGTTATTTGAAGCATCCTTTGAAATGATGCCATTGCTTACCTGCTGCACCAGATGGATCGACAAGGAGAGTGATCAGGTTCCTGGTTCTGTGCACTTAGAACTTTCTGCAGCAGTGCCTACATTAATTTGGCATCTCTAATTTCCAATGTTAGTTAGGCGTGGCCCAGGAGCAAGTGGAGAAGACTATACCCCAGAGCCATACTAACCTGTGAGTCTGAGCAGAAGGGTCAACCACAGGATAAGACAAAAATTCTGGAGCATGGAGGCAGAGACAGACATCATGAAGACCTAAAGAGAGTTCTCGGTTCAAGTGCCTATGCCAAACTCTTCTCTTGGAAATTAGTCACCCTGCTTCCCTCTATGCAAAAGGAAGTGGCTCTGGTGTAATGAGATAGCAACATGCTTCAAGATTATGAAACAATTCAGGCCACACATGCAGCTGCAAGGAAGTAAGTTACTCTTGGTAGATTGTTAGAGAGCCCTGGTCAAGCATACCAGAAACAATGCTTTCTCTCAGCTCTGAGGCTGCTCTGGATCCACTTGGTCATTCCTACCTTTTTCAGATGTTGTTGATTACACATTTGGGAGTCCCAAGCTGAGAATAATGTGTTTTAAATTCCCAAACTGGAGATTTACCTTGATTATTCCACAAGCTTAGAACTGGCTATTGCAGTGTCATAAAAACAGGATGGGGTCAAATTTATACCTTGTAGGATGTTCCATTTGCAGAA